TCCGATGTTCTTATCAGGGGAAGGCCTCGGCCTCTCTGCCCTGTTGTTGGCCCTCCTCAGGCTCCACATGCAAAATCTACAGTTATTCCCCAACCTGGAGCAGACAAACCTACATGGGCGGGCACAAGCTGGCACACCCTACCCCTGCACAAGGTGGGCAGCCCGCTCTTCGGCCCCTTGCACACCACAGAGGTGGTATTGAGGCCCTTTCCAGGGCTGGTTTTGCCTCCACGTCCACCCCAGCTGACTGCCATGGGGTAGGAAGGAAAGGAGTAACCAGCAATTTGGCAGAGGAGCAGGATCAGGCGCTCCGGTGGCAACTTGGCCTTCCCTCAGAAGAGAGCCTGCACCCTCTGAGGGGTCCCTTTAGCCTCAGGGCTCTGGACGCAGGCCTCTTCTGTGAAGAATCTTTTTCGAATTCTTAATTTGCGAATTCGGTTGCCAGAATTGTCTCAGAACAGAAAAGGATGGTGCAGGGAGAGGGGGAAACGTTCACCTTTTCCTCGTCACCTGTTTTTCAAAAAAAAAAAAAAAAAAACAACCTCCCCCCCACTGGCAAAAACCTCGACTGAGTTGCTTTTACCTTTACAAGTCTCTGGATTTTTATTCCCTCTGACCCCCGCTGAGGTAAAAAGTACTTATTTTTCATGTATTTATTTCATTAATATCCCGCCTTTTCCCCCAAGGGGGACCCAAAACGGCTTCAGTCACTCAGCCCTCCTCCATTTTATCCTCACAGGAACCCTCTGAGGTAGGTTAGGCTGAGGGAGCAGCTTGCATCATTCTTCTCCCTCCCTTTAATTCTCGCAACAAACCTGTGAGGTAGGCTAGGCTGAGGGAGCGTGACTGGCCCAAGGTCACCCAGGGACCTCCCATGGCAAGAGTGGGGATTTGAACCCAGGTCTTCGAGATACTAGTCTGACACTCTTAACCACTAAACCTCACCGTCTCTCAGTTCAGCTCAGGGGTGTCATGGTTAATGCGCAGACTCTAATCTGCGGGAACCGGGTTTGATTCCCAAATCCTCCACTTGCAGCTGCTGGGTGACCTTGGGGCAAGCCACAGTTCTGTCAGAGCTGTTCTTGAAAAAGAGCAGTTTCTCTCAGAGCTCCCTCAGCCCCACCTACCTCACAGGGGGTCGGGAAAGGAGTTTGTAAGCCGCTCTGAGACTACTTTGGGTAGTGAAGGGCAGGGTATAAATCCAATCTCTTCTTCTTCTTCTTTTACCTCACAGGGTGTCTGTTGTGGGGAGGGGAAGGGAAAGGAGTTTGTAAGCCGCTCTGAGACTCCTTTGGGGGGAGTGAAGGGCTGGGTATAAATCCAATCTCTTCTTCTTCTTTTACCTCACGGGGTGTCTGTTGCGGGGAGGGGGAGGGAAAGGAGTTTGTAAGCCGCTCTGAGACTCCTTTGGGGGTAGTGAAGGGCTGGGTATAAATCCAATCTCTTCTTCTTCTTTTACCTCACGGGGTGTCTGTTGCGGGGAGGGGGAGGGAAAGGAGTTTGTAAGCCGCTCTGAGACTCCTTTGGGGGTAGTGAAGGGCTGGGTATAAATCCAATCTCTTCTTCTTCTTTTACCTCACGGGGTGTCTGTTGCGGGGAGGGGGAGGGAAAGGAGTTTGTAAGCCGCTCTGAGACTCCTTTGGGGGTAGTGAAGGGCTGGGTATAAATCCAATCTCTTCTTCTTCTTTTACCTCACGGGGTGTCTGTTGCGGGGAGGGGGAGGGAAAGGAGTTTGTAAGCCGCTCTGAGACTCCTTTGGGGGTAGTGAAGGGCTGGGTATAAATCCAATCTCTTCTTCTTCTTTTACCTCACGGGGTGTCTGTTGTGGGGAGGGGAAGGGAAAGGAGTTTGTGAGCCGCTCTGAGACTCATTTGGGTAGTGAAGGGCAGGGTTTAAATCCAGTCTCCTCTTCTTCTTCTTTCCCCCTCTCCTTCTCCTCCTCCTCTGAGAAAATGTTGGGGAGAAAGGAGTTCATAGTGTGTCCCCCTCTTGCTTTATTTATATCCCGCCTTTCTGCCCAGGGGAGACCCAAGACGGCTTCCATCGGTCTCCTGTCCTCCATTTAATCCATGCAACAACCCTCACAGCGATTGCTTCCAAGTGAAGGAAAAAGGGGGAAAATTGAAAGAACAACAGAAATAATAGGAAGAATTCAAATATTGGAAGACTGGCATGAAAAGATGCGTGTAAAATGTGAAAAGATGTGTGTAAAATGTTGTTTAACGAATAACGTTTTATGCTTCTCGCCTCTCCCTTTATCCTTTTTTATGTTGTAGTCCCTTTAAATGGTAAAATAAAATATTATTATTTTTTTAAAAAACAGCCCCGGGAGGTAAGTCAGGCCGAGAGAGCGTGACTGGCCCAAGGTCACCCAGGGAAACTCCATTCCAGAGTGAGGAGGATTCGAACCTGGGTCTCCTGGTCTGACGCCACGACGGCTCTTTCGGCCAGTCGCTTTTGTGTGGTACCCAAGCCCGGGAGATAACAGGATGGTGCCTAGATGAAGGCACTTTGAAGGCGAGAGTCTCGGGTGTGAGATGTTTGCCGGCTCAGGTGTGAGATGTTTGTCACCCTTTTCGGTTGTCCCTTGCTTTCTCCTCTCGGGCCCTGCAGCCAAAGGACCTCAACGCCTGGCCACCACACCCCCTCCCTCGTAATCCTGCAGTTCTGAGCGTTTCTCCGGGCCCCACCGTTGGGGAGCAGAGCGTGCGCTTTTGACGTCTCTCCCGTCTCTCCCTCCCCGCCAGGTCCTGCGCAACATGGTCCACTGTGCCGACTTGAGCAACCCCACCAAGCCGCTGGAGCTGTACCGGCAGTGGACGGACCGGATCATGGAGGAGTTCTTCCGGCAGGGGGACAAGGAACGGGAGCGGGGCATGGAGATCAGCCCCATGTGCGACAAGCACACCGCCTCCGTGGAGAAGTCGCAGGTGCGTGGCGGCCGACTGGCCGGCCTGGACTCGTGCCCCGGTGGGAAGGAAGGGGGGGGTCCCCTGCTCCTTTACTCCTCCCCTTCGACCACCGCCCAGTGCAGGAGGGACTTTGTGATGGGCGGTGTTCCCTCTAAGCTGAGTTAGTGTGAGCCAGCGCACAGTTTTTTAGCCTCCGGCTCACACTTTTTTGGTCTCGGCTCAGGAAGGGTGGCTCCAGAGCAAACTGATTTGTGCAGCAGCCGAATCGCTCACATACCACTTGAATGCCAGTAGCTCACCAAGGACTTCGTGATGGGTGGTGTTCTTTTTGGTCTCGGCTCAGGAAGGAGGGCTCCAGAGCACACTGATTCAGGCAGCAGCCGAATCACTCGCTCACCACTTGAATGCCAGTAGCTCACCAAGGACTTTGTGATGGGCGGTGTTCCCTCTAAGCTGAGTTAGTGTGAGCCTAGCTCACAGTTTTTTAACCTCCGGCTCACATCTTTTTGGTCTCGGCTCAGGAAGGAGGGCTCCAGAGCAAACTGATTTGCTTGAATGCCAGCAGCTCACTAAGTAGAATTTTTGTTCACAAGACCACACAGTTTAGAAGGGACATTGGTTATGGGGTAACGAGGGCCAGAGCCCATTTGAGATTCGGAGGAGCTTCCTTTCCGCCCCGGGTTGTTGAAGGGACGCAGGACGGGTGTCGTTGGGGTGCAGATGTAGCTAGAGGAGCTGGAAGCCGAGATAAGGTGTATCGGGGCCAGGGGTCATTTCGTAGAAAAAGAGGTGCGGGAGCTCATTAGCATAACTCATTAGCATAACTTATTTGCATATGCCACACCCCCTGACATCACCGGAAGTGTGTCAGGAGACAACACCCACCGCTTAGGCTCCACTGGACTATTTTTGATAGCTAGCTATTGGGGGGGGGGGGCGGAACGTGCAGATCTGTCCTCGCAGAGGAGGGAGAGCTTGTACCTGAAAAAAACTTGGTCTTAAAGGTGCCACTGGACTGTTTTGGGGAGCTGGGGGGGGGGCTCTGCAACTTACCTGGCTGCTTCTTGCTCTGACTGAGGGCTGCTGGGAGCAGGGGGCGGGGCTTGCTGCATGTGCCTGCCCCCTGGGCTCTTTACTGCCGGAGCTCCGCTCCTGTGTGCTCCCGCAGGAAATGACCCCTGGTTGTATGCTTTTTTGTTTATACCACCTGTCGTTTTACGATTTCTGTGTCTTATCTGTACATTTAGATTAACGGCTTGTTTTTATGCTTTGGTGTAAATGTCGTACACCAGCTCTGAGCCCGCTCTGCAGGGAGAGCAGTATAAAACTTTAATATATAATAATAATAACCCCGTAGAGCATTCAAGACAAGAGGTGAGCACCAGTGGTTTGCCTTCGCCTGCCTCTATGGAGTGACCCAGGGCTTCCTCGGCGGTCTCCCATCCAAGTACGAACCAGGGCCGACCCTGCTTAGCTTCTGAGATCTGATGAGATCGGGCCAGCCTGGGCCCTCCAGGTCAAAGCAGGAGTTGAACAGAGTCGTTTTTGCCATTGCAGAGCAACCCTGGACTTCCTTGGGGGTCTCCCACCCAAGTACGAACTGGGGCTGACCCTGCTTAGCTTCCGAGATCTGATGAGATTGGGTTAACCTAGGCCATCCAAGTTCCAAGTTCTCTTATTTTAAAATCTTATTTGTAAACTTCTTAAGCTTACAAATAAGAAAAATTTGGAATCTAGCTGGTGGAAATGCCTCCATTGCTAGAAACCTTCATTCCTGGATATTGGCTTTTCCAGTACAAAAGAGTAACATTTGTGGCAGGGTAGGCGCTTTCGTGAGTCACGGCTCACTTCTTCAGAACACACCTAACCACGGCTTCCCATCTTAATCTATAGGCTTTTCTGTCATCTCATCTGTAGGCTTCTTCATCATTTGTCTTCCCGTATGGCTTCAGGGTTGGGATTTTCCCCCTCTTTTTTTTTTTTTTGCACATGTTTGCTCCCTCTAGTGGTTGTTTCCATATTTCATTGCCGTACGCCTGGCTGATTTACGAGTACTTTATACAGCGATGAGATCTCGAAGCGACCACTAGAGGGAGCAAAGGATGTGCGGGAAAGAGGGGGAAAAGATGCAAACAAGCGAGGAGATAACACGTGTGGGGAGACTCCACCGTCTCCTTTTTTAATGAATGTCCCCCCTGTTCTGTTTGTCACTAACCCCACCTCATTTCCCACCCGCTCCCCCTCCGTCCCCCCAGGTGGGATTCATCGACTACATCGTGCACCCGCTGTGGGAGACGTGGGCGGACCTGGTCCACCCGGACGCACAAGACATTTTGGACACCCTCGAGGACAACCGGGACTGGTACCACAGCATGATCCCCCAGAGCCCTTCCCCGCCTCCGGACGATGCGGAGAAGGACGACGAGGCCTGCCTGGAGAAATTCCAGTTCGAACTGACCCTGGAGGAGGACGGGGAGGACTCGGAGGGGGACCGCAGCAGCCCCGGCGAGGA